CTTGTATAAATACCACATTTTGTACAATAGAATGAAGGCCCCAAGAAATACGAATACCTTTCTTTTATTAAATTTAAATTAATTTTTAATGTTGATTTTACATATTGACCCCTCTAATATGGTCAGTATACATCCGCAAAAGTAGAGATTTAATTAACAAATAACATCATTTAAAGAGAAGAGTTGTTGTACAAAGCATTGCAACCCTCACGGAAGCTATTTTTCAGTTTATAAAAATCAGCCAGGAAAGACGGAACCAACCTCCCGTTTTGAATACTATTAGAGAAAAACAAAATAATTAAATAATTAAATAATTAAATAATTAAAAATATTGATAATTTCTCTTCAAAATCAGACTAATTAGGTTTCAATTGTGGATGAATTCTAATTCGTGTTTTCTCACTATTCTAATTCCGTACCTATAAATTATTGTGGGAAAAACTTATTTTTTTAATTTAGTATATTTAATAAAACTAAGAAAAAAAATTAAATAATAATTTATTATTATTGCCATACTTGACTCATCAATAAATTTTTTATTTTGGAGCACGTGTCTCAAGCAAATTTTTGATTTGAAATATTTAAACTCAAATTAAAAGACAGCTGGAACTCTTATTCCAGTGAAATTGCAGTCATAATGACCGGCTAAACAAGACTGACCCAATGATAGCATAATTGATCTAACCTGAGGCAAATCAAACCTAAATTAAATCACATTTAGAAGCTTTGGGTGGTCAATTGAAAGATAAAAACGATAAAATAGATTTCAACAGAGTTCAAGATCATTCAATTATGACGTCATTTGGAAACTTAAATGCCCATAAATGTGATATGATTAAGGGAATCATTTTGGGACATATGATGGAGTGATTCATATTCTTGTAATATTTATAGAGGATGCCACTCTCAGACTCGATAAATAGAATCCTATAACCTCAATGAAGGAGGACTGAGACGGAGAGCTAGATTGAGAAGAGAATGATGAGAATTAGAGAGCCATTCTAGATTTGAAGACTCGATGAACACTTCATGCTTCCGCAGCTGTCGACCACCATCAACAACCGCCTCCCGATCATCGTTGACCATCGTGAGCCTTCAAAGTTATGAAGCACATTACAAAGTTATGTCGTACTTTGCGGATTAATGACTCATCATACAGAGCAGTGGGCAAAATATGGCGACATGACACTTCTTGAAGACAGTGTATAACACACTCTAAACATGATGTAATGACACAACCTAAATCTATTGTTAACAACTCATGTCATTACAATTCTTCACTCTGGCCTTGGTGGCCAAGTGACGTTTTCCCTCCGCTACAGCCTTTGAGGCCAACCGATGCAATTAAAACTAAACATTACAACTTATATGACCAACTAGGAGCTTAGTAACACGCAGCTCACGCAACTTTCAACTCCAACCTCTACGACTTACGAATGTTATTGCAACTCACATTATGACTTATAAAGCCAACTAGAGACTATCTGACCCACAACTCTTGCAACCTCTAACTCTGATCTTAGTGGCGTACAGACATTATTGCGGCTCTAATAACGTAAAAAAAAATTATTCACGTATATTTTTATCTGTTGAAGTGAAAGAAAATTATACTAAACTTATCATTAAAAATTTTCTACTACACAACTTTAATTTACTTGACAATTATGATAAAATTAATGTACTCTTACTTCAATTTATTTATTTATTTATTTATTTATTTTCCTGTGAGGCATTAAACTTGTTATCGCGTACAATCTTGAGTAGTACTTATCCGATTGATTAATAAATCGGTAAAACGATTAAACGCGTCTCCGTGATTAGTAACTGAAGAAACCCTTTCGATCTTCGTCCCCAATCACTTCTCCTTTCTCAGTTCCTTCCTCTCAGATTTAACCTTTTTTACTATAAATCCTTCCCTCTCCTCTCTCTTCACCCCCACCTTAGCTTCTTCCCCATCACTCCCACTACCAATTTCAGTCTTCCTGTTCCCAATTTGCGATTTCTTTCACAAAGATGGTCCGGTT